ATCCCAGTTCATGAGAACCCCAAAGACCACCAGGAATCGACTCTGCCGCAAATACATGGGGGTTTATTGTATATGTGCTCAAGCCATGGGTAGAGGGAAGCAGGAAAGGAATGTGGCTCCCAGGTCTAGGGGAACAAGGTTTTTAAAGGAAAAAAAAATGCAAGCAGGCGTTATATGCCTTGGTGTTATATGATTGGGTAAGGGAAATTGACTTTTGAAATGATTGGTTCACCTTAGGCACCAAGACCATAAGCGGGTCTAGCCTGGCCATCTGGGCCGGTTTCCTAGCAATTGTATCTCTAGTGGGCAGGAAAAGAGTGCAGTAAAGCTAGCTCCTTTCGCCAGGTGGCTGGACATGTCTACACCTGGCTGGCTTTTGTTCAGGCTTATAATCCAATACCCACTAATTTTAAATTCTTTGGTCTCTCAGAGTCTTATGTTTACCCCTTGGCAAGTTTGTATCATCCCAATAAACAGCCCCACTTACTCTGGACGCAGGTAGTGAGGCACAGTCAGTGTAAGTGAAATGGAGTTCCGACAGAGTGACACCAGGGGATATAGTACCACTTTTGCAGGGACACAGGTCTCACAGATTAAGAAGACTTAAAAGCAGACTGGGAAGGAAATACTCAAGAGATCTATTTGCCTCTGCCTCCCTCTAGAGTGTTGGGAATAAAAGTATGACTGCCCCACCTCCCTCAAAGACAATTTTATTGGCAACAACAGGGCAGGCAAGCTGAGATCTCTTGGCAGGTGGGGCGAGTGAGATAGATGAGAGAAAAATAAAGCCATACTTTCTCAGAGGTCAAGAAAGCAGGCAGACTCTGATCTAGAAAGTCTATGGGTTTCTGAAAGGATGGCAGCGATGGTGGTGATTTTTAAGAAATAATGACAGTGACTGGAGCGCTAAGGCAAGCAGGCTACCTCACAATTTTGTTTAGTGTTTAGAAGAGGGAGTGGTGGCACACATCTTTAATTGCAAAGGCAGGCCGATCTCTGTGAGTTCAAGGCCAGCTTGGTCTACAGAGGGAATTCTAGGACAGCCAGGGCTACACAGAGAAACCCTGTCTTGAGGGGAAAGGGGGGATTGAAAGAGGGTAGAGACATTATTCTGAGTTTGAACTAAGGAAATGGGTAAGCTTTGTCCTGAGGATCTGTAAGCACAGCTGCACTGAGGGAAGAGTGAGTATTTAACTCATATCTTTTTTTTTTTTTTTTTGGTTTGTTTTTCTTTTTTGAGATTGGGTTTCACTGTGTAGCCTTGGCTGTCCTGGACTCTGCTTTGTATATCAGGCTGACCTTGAACTCACTGAAGAGATCTGCTTGCCTCTGCCTCCCCTGAGTGCTGGGATTACAGGCGTGTGCCACCAAGTCTGGCTTTAAAACTCTCTTGTTAAAGGATATTTATTCCTTCCAATTCCTTATATCTTCACTTACATCATATGTGTGTGTGTGTGTGTGTGTGTGTGTGTGTGTGTGTGTATACATATATATATTTCCATCTTTGGTGTTGGGCTGGTCTTCCTTGTGTTATAAACAGAGTTCACTACTGAGCCTTGAAGCAGGGACTGCATCAATCCCCCATTGAAGAAGATCTCCAGCTTGGTCTGGGCAAGGAAAGTGCCTACTGTATACATCAAAACACAATTATCAACCACTGACAAAACAATTTGTAAAACAGGTTCCTGACCATCAACTACCATATTTGTGTCTAAAGATGTCACCATGCCATTATTTCTATTTCTCAAAGTGGTTCTCTGTCTATATCAGAAAGTTAAAGGCTGTGGATCCTGCCATTTGCACCAAAGAAGCTGGTGTAGACTTGAGTACTTCCCAGGTTCCCCAACTGGAACCTGGGAAGCAGCTAGTTGTACAAGGCCCTTTTCATTCCCCACTGGAGGCCTGTGTCCTGGAAAGAAAAAATTACAACAAAATGCCACAGCTTGGCATGCAGGGTTGGTGCAGTCACCTACTGTTGAAACTTTCTTTAACGCATAGACGTAGGAATATCTTAAGAATGATTTCTACTCCTGGTGGCTACACATATTGCCTGAACCTCTTTCCTTGGATGTAAACAGAAACAGGCATTTATTCCATCACCATGAGCTTGTGAAGGCATGGGTGAAGACACAAATTAAGTACATGTGAAAAAAAAAAAGCCCCTTTAAAAATTATTACACTTATTAAATCAGGCATGGCAGCACAGGTAACCCCAACACTTGGGAGGGTGGGTCAGGGGCATTTCTGGAAGATCCTTGGCTATACTGTGAAACTGTCATAGAAACAAAAAAAATAAACAATTCACATCTATAGATTACTCATTATGGGGCTGATACTTTAAAAAAAAGCACTTCTCATATATTTATTTATTTCACACAATTTTTACCCTCATTTTACAAATGTGGGAATAATAGAGATTAAGCAAATTGTTTAATGTGAGTTACTTAAGTGGTAGAAGAGAGATTATAAATACCAGTTCTTCTGTTTCTAGAATCCTTGCTGTCAATCTCTATTTTGCTGGCTTGATCATTAAGATAATTTTTCCTTACCCAAACCACTCATTTTAATACTGGTTTCTACATTCCCTTTCAAATCTAATGTTTGACTTAAACAGATAAACTTCACAACCATCTCTTAATTTTAATCCATAAAAGAAAATATTATCAGAAAGATATCCTGGACAATACAAAAATTATTAATTCCATGTTTGGGATTACCAGCAGTTGAAAGAAATATTTATTTTAATCTAGGAATGTCTTGTAAAAATCAAGACAGTTGTCTCTTGCTCTTTTTGCTCTTTCCTTCTCTTGCTTTCTGTCAGGGTGCCCCCTCTCCCTACCATGTCTGTCTCTTTTTCTCTCCATCTCCATCCAATAAACCTCATTGGATTAAAAAAAAATCAAGACAGTCAACCTCAAACTGCCTTCCTGCATTTGGTTTGGTTGCTCTCCTCTTCTGAGGGGTTGGGCTTATCACCCTTTCTGCTTCACCTCTAAGACTCAATCAGGGAGTCCTACAGTTCGGTGACTCCCAAGCTTTAGGTGCAGTGTAATCCTCTAGAGGGCTCCTTAAAAGCTTGATTTAGGTGTGTTCTAAGAATTTGCATTTTTAGTAAGAGTTGAGTGATCCTAAACTGTTAGTCTAGGACCTCACACAGGAAAAAGTACATGCTGAATATTTCTAGTCTAAAACTCTAAACCCACTGCTCCCACACCAAGCACAAAATTATTTTAAAGTGCTTTATGAAATTACTGTTAGGTTCTGTGCATAAGGTCTGTATGAAATACAACTGAGTATTTTTTTGCAACTAAAGTCCCATCCCCAAGATGTCTTATTATGTATAAACAAGTATTTTAAGAGTTGAGGACAGGATCCTGGAGGGATATGAGGGGGATTCAAGCAGAGACTCCTAGTAACAGAGGCTACGAGACTGAAGAGGGCATCCTCTAATTAGACTAATCTAGTAAGGGGCGGGGAACACCAACCCACCCACAAAAAACTTCAGCCTAAAATTTATCCTGCCTACGAGATGTGCAGGGATGAAGATAGAGCAGAGACTTCGGGAATGACCAACCTATGCCTGGTCCAAAGACGCATCCTATCAGAGAATCAAGCCCCGATTATGAATGATATTCTGCTAAGCTTGCAGACAGAAGCTTGTCAGAGTTGTCCTCTGAGAGGCTCTAACCAGCAGCGCCTCAAAACAGATGCTGAGACTCATAGCCAAACATTGGTAGATGATAGGGAGTCTTGGGGAATAGTGTAAGGAAAGAGAGTAAGACCTGCAGTAAGAGGAGCGCCACAAGAAGACCAACAGGGCCAACTAACTAGAGCCCAGAGGGGTTTGCTGAGACTGAAGCATCAACCAAGGACCATGCATGAACTGAACCTAGGCCCCCTACAAAGATGTAGCAGATGGGCAGCTTAGGCTTCATGTGGGTTCTCTAGTAAGGGAAGCAGGGACTGCATCAGACATGGACTCACTTGCCAGCTTTTTTACTTTCCCCTGGCGGGACTGCCTTGCCAGGCCACAGGTGATGAGGACAAGCTCAGTCCTGATGGAACTTGAAGAGCTGAAGTGGATGGGAAAGGGAGCTCCCCTTTCCTGAGGAAAAGGGGAGGAGGAAGGGAGAGGAGAGAAGGTGGGACTGGGAGGGGAGGAGGAAAGGGGCTACAAGGATGTAAAGTGAATAAAATGAGAAAAAAAAAAAAACTGAAAAAAAAATCCCAAATAGTTCTCATCCTAAGTATTTCAGATGAGTGATACTTCACTTGCACAATTCTATTCCTTCTAATATCTGCTTCTTCCAAACAGGCTATCTGATAAAGGATTCATGACCCTAGTTACAAAGAAACTATGTACTAGCTACTGGGTCTCGGTCTTTGATCCTGGACAGTAAAAGGCCAACTACATTTTGCTTCTTTCGGGTACGGCTGACTCCCTCCATACAGCAGCCTGGCAGAATCCTAGTTTTCTATAGGAGTCAGACTGTAAGGATGGGGGAAGGGCCCTTCAGCAACCTGATGGCCACTATTTTCTCACGTGCAACAGCGGCAGTCACCCAACCACGTGGTTAAGAGGTAGAACACAGCCTGAAAGCTAATTACCGGGTCCAGGGAAGGCAAAGTGGGCATCGGTGACGGTAGACCTACGACAACAAACAAGCCCTAAACATGGCAAAAAAAAAAAAAAAATAACTCCCCAAGTATCGGAGACTGAAGGAAACCTGCGCGTCTCCACCTTGAAGCCTAGAGAGCCGCTACAGAGTAGGCGTCCCAGACACAGGCTCGCGGGGCGCCTGCTTCCGGCCACGTGTGCGCCCGCAGCCAATGGGAAGGCTTTACGCCACACCCGCTTCCTCACCCTGGCAACGGGCGAGCGACTACTTCCGGTGTCGGAGCGCTCTGCGCTGACGCGGTGAGTGTCCCTCGTTCTCACGCTGTCCGTGCCGCCGCCGCCGCCGCCGCCGCCGAGCCGCGGTCTCCGTGTGGCCCCGCGGGCCAGCGTGGTGTCCCCTCCCGGCGGCACCGGGCGGCGCGCACGGCGCCACCTGCCTGGCCTGGCGCTCGGCGAGGGCACGCGTGGGGCCGGCCGGTTCCCTCGGCTTCGCGCGCCGAGCAGCCCCAGGCTGCGGGGAAGTCGCGCCCCCAGGTCCGCCGGCGTCGCGTGGGGCCGGGCTTCCCGGAGCGTCCCGGGGGCACTAGCACCCGCTGCCGGGGCAGAGGCGGCCAGGACCGCGCAGATGAAGCGGCTGGAGGCGTCCTGAAGCAGCGCTTAGTGATTCCGAATTCAGCGTAATTATGCTGGGTAGAGGAAGGGAAGGTGTGTTGGAGGCGACTGGACTAAGAGCTTTGAATAGTCAGCTTAGGGCGTTTAACCTAACATCTTGGGTGTTTAATTTCCCGTTTTGTTTGTTGTAAATAAACCTTTTCCTCTCACAACTTCAAAAAGCACAGGTGGTCAGAAAACGTTTGGGAGTTGCAGAAAGAGATTAACATAGTTGCCGCAACTGAGGATTTTGTTCTTTGTGATTTCTTAGGCGTTTTAAGGTATCACCTAGAAGTGTGTGCCTATAAAACGGTTAAACAACAGCAACAACAACAAAAGATTGCATTTGTGCATGTTTATGTGTGCGAGTGGTTGCACCATAATGCCTGTACATTTTATGTGTGTGAGCGATTGTGTCCTGGCGCCTGCGCACCTCCTGCATACCCGTGGGGGCCAGAAGAGGGCGCCCTATTTTCTGGAACTGTAATCAAGGATGGTTGTAAGCCAGCATGTGGTGCTAGGAACAAGCTCGGGTTTGTGTCTTCCTGTTTTGTACGTACTAAGTAGAACCATGTAACAAATGTCTAGCCTCTTTCAGGTAACATAATGCTTTCAAGATTCGTCCATGACTGTGTGGCAATGCAGCATTCCTTTGTATTTCTTTATTTTCCCCTGCGATTCTGGGGATGGACCTTATACTTGCTACGTAAGCATTCTCTCAGGACCTACGCGCCCCACCCATTCCTTTCTATGGATATGCAGTTAAATCAGTTGGAATGTTTTGTCCTTTCGGGATTTGGGACAATTCTGCACACATCCTTTATAACTTTTTGTGTGGATATTTTTTAGTTTAGTTTTATTTTTTATTATTTTATTTTTTGGTATGTACCTAGGAGTGGAACTTCTGGGTCATATGCCCTGAGAACTGAGGAGATACTTTCCAGAATGGTTATAGCATATTGAATCTCACAGATTATAAAGATCTGCACCTCTAACTTCTAGCAAATATCTGTTTTGATTATACTGTATTTTACAGTGGCAGTATTGAAATAGTATCTTGATTTTTATGGTTAATAATCATAAGCATCTCTCATCATTTTTATCAGTCCTTCCATAGTTTTGGAGAAATGTCTAATTTGTCTGACAGATATTTTTAAGTTTATGTGGATGCGTGTTTTGCCTGCACATATGTCTATGTACCATATGCATGCTGGTTATCAACAGAGGCCAAAGAGGCATCAGATTCCCTGGGACAGGACTTACATATGGTTGGGTTATGCCATGTGTGTGCTGGGAATTAAGAGCAGCCAGTGAGTGAGTGCTCTTAACTACTAAGTAATCTCCCCAGGTGTTTTCTTTTTTGAGACAGGTCACCACAGCAAAAGCAAAAACAAAAACATTGCTGAATTCAGGGTCACAAATATTTATTTCTGTATAACTTCTGGTAACTGCAAAAGATTTTATAGTTTTGACTCTTGTTTTTTAGTACTTAATTTTGGTAGTAGCAGGGAGGAGTTATGACTTTTTCTTATTGCCTTCTGGATTCTAATTTTCATCACCTTTGTTGACTCTCATTTTCCCACAGAATGGCATAGGAATCCATCTTTTGTTTGTTTTTGCTTTTTGAGGTAGAGCTTTTCTGTGTCTCCTTAGCTGTTCTGGAACTCCCTCTATAGAACAGGCTGGCCTCAAACTCACAGATATCTGCCTGCCTCTGCCTCGAATGTGCTGGGATTAATGGTGTCTCCCCCACCATTTATCTTGTAAAAGCAAGTGACATAAATAATGTTAGTGTTATAACCATTCTTGTCTGTCAAATTCTTAGGTATATGTTTTTAAAATTCTGTATTCTATTATTAAGTATAGCATGAAAGAGGTAACCAGGAGCACATGCTGGCAGTCCTAGAATTTGGGAAGTAGAGGGAGGAGGATTAGGAGTGTGAATCGGCCCAGGCTACATGAGACCTAGTCTCATAAAGCAAAGTAAAACAAGACAATACATTAACAACAACCCAAACCAACGAAAGGAAGACTAAGATTTTTCTGTATTTAAAATTTTGGTAGAAAGTGTTTTCAAAAGTAGAATTACTGGATCAGATATGTTTGTTCTGGAACTCTTTTAATGAAGCGTTAAAACCTCAATGTCATGATATTAAGTGTACACAATACTGTATTTTGTTTTTTAAAATGATACAGCTTCTCATCTCCTATGCCTGGCTGGCCTACAGCCCATTACGTAGTCTAGATTGGCCTTGAGTTTGCAATGATTTTTCTCTCACTGCCTCTCTTATGGGCTGGGGTTACAGTCATCTGCCACATGGCTCTGAACAACATGGCTTTTTATTGTCAATTGCAATAGCTTAAGGGCCGGATTTCTTCTGTAAAGAAATATTTTGTTGGCAGATGACTTCTTGACTATCTTCCTCCTATACTGCTTTGGAAAGATTAAACAGGACATATACTTTTCTAAGTTGTTTAACTAAAAAACAAGTGTCATGACGTGATAGGAAAATTAAAAAATATGCATATATACTCATATATTTGAGAGACCCAAGGTCAAGATTTAGACCTTAAGTTAGTATCTAGAAAGTGCCTGAAGTTAAAAAAAAAATGTTTTATTTTGAGTTTCTCTTTTGGTTTTGATTAGTGAATTAGTGTTCATCTTGGTCTCAGACATGGTCAAATAAAGAGTCTCTTCAATGGACAGTACTGAATCAAACAAGTTCAAATATGAAGGGTATTAGAGCAAACAGGATTTCAGTTCTCCTTAGAGGTATGTCTGTGATACTGTATCTGTATAGACTAGTTCATAAACACAGTGTCTGGAAGATGGTTAGCTGTAGTATTGCACAGTTTCAAGCTGTCCCTACCTACGTAACAGACCCCTTTTCAGAACAGTTCCATTCAGCTTAAGCCACCAACACAGTGTTAGTTAGAAACCATTTTTTCTTTTATGACTATTTTTTTTAATTTTGGATGTTTAGCTTGTCTTTCCTTTTGTATATTATCTGTTTCTGATTTTTGGCATGGCATTTGTCTTCCTTAATACTGTCCTTCATGGAATTTATTTTGTCAGTCTTTTGTAATCGGTTACTCTATGATAACTTGTGTTTGTGGAGAAAAGTTCAGATACTGTGTAATATTTATGTAAGAGGCATTTGGGCTAAATGGGTACAGGAAAATGAAGTTAGGTGCTTGAGGAAGAAACCTACAGGATTTTGGTGTGGTCTTAAATGACCGTAACGTGGGTTAGAAACAAATTATGCAATTATGAAGGACAATGTGCAGAGGCCTAGCCTTTAGTGGAGCAAATGAGCTCATTTTGGTAGGTTAGTAAGGAACACTAAGACCGAGCTCCAAGAGAAGAAACTGGAGCCATAATTTTATTTCAAGTCACATGAAAAAGGCAAAAAAAAAAAAAAAAAAAAAAAAAAAAATCATGATTTGCTGAGAGGATCGTTTTGAAAGATTGGCAGTAAAGACAGTTCTAGTGATGTGAAAAATAGGCTTGGAGGGCTCACGAACTAGGATTGTAGGTTGGCGTGTTGCCATGAAAAGTGAGCGGGTAGCCAAGCAAAGTGTGAAGTGGGACATTTAGAGAGACCGTCGGCTTTAGTAAATTGGAAAAGTGCAGCGTATGGGAAACAAGAGCTTATATTTTAGACAGCTTTCGTCAGATAGAGTTTATGCATGTGTATGACTTGTTAATATTCAGACTGTGAAACCATGAATGCCATAATCAATTTTAGAATGTTGATTGTATGTACATTGATACTGTATTCAATATTAAACTCCCCCCCCCAAACAGGCTTTCTCTGTGTAGTCTTGGCTGTCCTGGACTAAGTTTCTAGACCAGGCTGGCCTGGAACTCACAGTGATCAGCCTGCTTCTGCCTTGGGATTACAGGCATGTGCCACTGTGCCCGGCAATATTAAACATTTTTAAGGTTCTTAATATTGATGTCATGAATATGTTATGCTCATACATAGAACATATGTATTTTTCTACAATGTTAGAACTTATTGGACAGTGCACAGGGATATTACTTGGTTGTTAGGGTGTTAGCCTAACAGGCTACAAATGCTGGATTAGATTTCAAGGACTCATAATACTGGTTGTGGTGGCACATTCCTGTAATTCCAGGACTGGAGAGGTAGAGACAGGAAGATCAGAAATTCAGGCCCATTGTTGGTGATGTGTGTAAGCTGGGGATGTATGATCTATTGTCTAAAAAAAAAATTATTGAAGCTCAGGTTCCCTAGCTTTGTTGCCGCTAATTTATAGTCAGATTTGCCTTGATAGCTGATTATTACATGCACAAGTTTTTCATCTCCGTCTTCATGACTGCACCGCACACTGCATTGTATTTCTTAGTAACTGTGTGTGTTAGTAAATGTGGTAAAGGTACAGTGAGCTCAGACAGCTCACAGAAGCCTTCCTGGAGGCAGAGGGAGAGTGAGGTGTGAGGTGTGGGGCTAGAGCTGGGCAGAAGGACAGGCAGGTGGACGGAGGACAGTTTGTGGGCCCTTGTGGCAGTGGGGGCTTACCTGAGCTTAATCCTCACAGAGTCTAGGTTTCTTTGCCTGTGGGTCCCTTTATGTACACACTTGGTGGTGTGGTCAGATGGCAGGTGGTGGAGGCTGTTGATGATAGTGTCAGGGTACCCAGGTAGAGGTGTCCGTCCTTCCTCAAACTGCTATCTGGCGAAGCTTTGGCCTGTTTTTGCCTGGAAAGGTTTAATGTACCCACGTGCTGTAAGTCCCCAGTCTGGAAACCGTCTGAAGGTGCTGCTGGCTGGCGGCAGTGCTTGTGCGCTGCGTGTGCGGCAAGGTGCAGGCTCAACTTGCCTCGGCATTTACCCTCAAAATGGACCAGATTTGCCCTGTAAACTGGAGTTGCCCAGGGCAAGGCACAGCTTGGAAGCCGCTGCTTTCTGCTCTGTGGGAGAATGCAGAGCAGGGCACAGGTTCTTCTCTACAAGGGAGAATTTTCCTTTCGGGTCTCGCCACAGAATGAACTCTTCCCCTAGTAGCAGCTGTTCACCGTTTCTTCTCCAGCTTCAAGCTGCTATGGATGACTTACTTTCTGTCCGCTTACACTGGTGGCCTTTTGCTCTTGCTTTCATTATTGCTTCTAGTGTTTGTTTATATTTTATTCATTTTCCTCCCATTAGGTTCATTTGCTTGGAATATCTTTTTCAATTTTAATTTGTTTGTTTTCTGAGACAGGTTTTCTCTGTGTAGCCTTGGCTGTCCTGGACTTACTTTGTAGACCAGGCTGGCTTCGATAGCTATCCACCTGCCTTTGTCTCCCTGAGTGCTGGGATTAAAGATGTGTGCCACTGCGTCCAGCTCTTAATTTTAACTTTTATTCTTTACATACATTACATCCCAGCCAGGATTGAGACCTTTTTATAGTAAATTATTTTGTTTGTATGTTTTCAGACAAGTACTGTCACTGGACAGAGATTTAAATTGTAAACTTTACATGTTCTGTCATTATTGTCCAGTTCAATAAATCTATTTTGAAAAAAATCTATGTGCATGCTTTTTTGTAAGGAATGTGCATATTGGTAGGAAGAAGTAGAAGTAACCTCTTCTTGTTTTTCTCTAGGGTGGCCCCTCCTGTGCAGTTGCTTTTGCATGGAAGGATGCGCTTTTCCTGATAGAAGATGAGAGCCCTGGAGAATGACCATGGAGAAGGAGATGAGTTCTGGAGAGGGACTGCCTTCCAGATCATCTCAGGCATCTGCTGCTAGAGGAGCAGCCAGGGAGGCAGAAGCCCAGCAGCCCTGTAAGGACAAGCGGGGGGGCTTCGTGTTGGTGCACGCAGGTAAGGCCGTGTGGGGAGCCGGAATGGAAGCTGAGAATGACGGTTTCCTTTCTTGCTTTGTGGAACAGTGAGGGCTGCATTTTGTACCTACCAAAGAGGAGTTAGCCAAAGAGCCTGCTAATAGAGGTTAATAGAGTGAGGGCCTCTTTCACACCCTGGGTTGGAAAGTTTTACAGTGATACTTCTTCCTATGTCTTCCTTAATTCCCTTCCTCAGTTACCTTTACCTTACATAATACATATGTACAGATAAGGAGTGTCAAAACCCAAGCAATCCTTAAAACATTATTTATTTGTTTTTTTAAATTAAGTTTTTATTTGAGACAGGGTCTGTAGACCAGGCTGGCCTTTGTGTGTACAGAGATGTGCCTGCCTCTGCCTCTGCCTCTGCCTCTGCCTCTGCCTCTGCCTCTGCCTCTGCCTCTGCCTCTGCCTCTGCCTCTGCCTCTGCCTCCGCCTCCGCCTCCGCCTCCAAGTGCTGGGATTAAAGATTAAAGATGTGTGCCACTATGCCTGGCTTGAAACCAAAGTAAGTTTCAAATTCTGGTTTATGTTTTATAGAATAATGCTACTGAAAATCCTTTTAGGCTCCATTTTAGACAGGGGCTATTTTAAAGTATTATTATAAAATTAGCTAACTTAGCCTTTTTTTTTTCATTCATTCATTCATTCATCCATTCATCCATGCGTGTATGTGTGTGTCTAGGCTCAAGCGTCGTAGCACATTTATGGAGGTCAGAGGATAACCTATGGGAGGCAGGTTTCTCTACCATTTGGGTGGTGGGGATTGAACTCCAGTCATTAGTGACATAGTTCAACCTTGTAAGACTGGTGGACTTTCTCTTTGTCCTGTGCAGATTCAGTGATTCTGTATAAATGAACTGACAACACAACTTAAAGCAAACTCATTAACATTCATACACACACACACACACACACACACACACACACACACACACACACTAGCTTTTGAGACTCAAAGAAAGGGCCAGATGGTTGAAGCTGCTGCACGAGAAATAGTCTTTTGAGCTATAGAAAGAGCATCTTGAGCCAGGCGCCGTGGTGCACGTCTGTAATCTCAGCACTCTTTGAGACAGAGGCAGGTAGATCTCTGAGTTCGCGGCCAGCCTGGTCTATAGAATGAGTCCAGGACAGCCAAGGCTATATAGAGAAACCCTGTGTCAAAAAAAGGGAGGAGCTTGAGGTACCTGGGAAGGTGGTGACGGGTTATGAGTGGACAAAGAGAAGAGATAAACTGTGAACAAATGTTTTGTTCTGGGGAGATGGTCCCCCAGGTTACAGTCATTAGAAGGTTACGTCATTCTGTGGCAATCTTTTGCCAGGGATAATTTGCTAGGATCGTTACTAGATGTAAGGATGCCAGAGAGTGAGATAGATATTTTGTACAGCACAGATCTCTTTCCTCTGCTCCTCGGTCCGCAGTCCTCCTGAGTGGTCGTATTATGTTGTGGTAAAGAAGTGGATTTTGATAATAGTGAGATGGCTTTGGGTAAAGGACCTTGCTACCAAGCCTGAGCTCAATCTATGGAGTCCCCACATGGTGGAAGAAGAACGCTGATCCCTCAAGTTATCTTCTGACCTCCACATGTGTGCCTCAGTGTGTGCTTGCATGCACACACCCACACATACACAAAATAAATAATAGATGTAAGAATAGTGAAAATAATTATATTTTGAAGTTGATCATTTCCTGGCTCGTAGCTTCTAGTAGTGTAGGTGAAGACCCTCAGGACTGGACACGGAGGGGCTTACATGGTTCCAGTTGTACTGCTGACCCTAAGGTTTTCTCTCATCCTGTGATCTGTCTACCTCAGAGGACTGTGAGGACAGATAGGCGAAAGCTTAACTTCTGGATCCCCTGTTTTTAAGAGGCCTGGTTTTGAGGGTAGGTCTTTATTTTTTGGCAATTTTTCTTTTCTTCCACTGTCAGCTCTGTGACATCTACAGAGAAAGGATGGCAAGTTTCCTTTCAGGTTTTTCCAGAGTAGACCCTTTTCTCAGGAAACTAGTATCTTGTCTGGTTATTACCCTTTGGCTGTTTTAGACTGCACAACTTGGAAGTCCCATGGAATCTAATTCAGAGGGATTAACACACAAAGCACAGGAAGTTTAGTTTTTCCGTCTCTTTTCATTGCCGATGCCCATCCCCTTACCCCCTGACCTGTCACACTCTTTCTCTTGGGATTTACTAGAGGGCCTTATGTGTGCTAGGCGAGTGCCTGGTCACCGAGGTCCATTATCAGTATTTGCCTTCTTACTTTTTAAAAATTTTTTATTGTGTGTGCATATAATATGTGGGTAGGTGTTTGTGCTGTTGTATATGTGTAGAGGTCAATGGACAGTGTGGTGGAGATGGTTCTTTTCTTCCACCTTTACCCGGTTTCTTGGGATCAAACTCAGATTGCCAGGCTTGCCATAAGTACTTCATCTGCTGAGCCACCTAGTTGAGCTCCACATTTTTTTTTTTTTTTTTTTTTTTTTAAAGACACTCTCACTTTAGCCCAGGCTGACCCAGAACTCAGTTTGTAGCCTAAGTTGGCCTGGAAGTCAGGGCAGTTCTCCAGTGTGGCTTTTTAGTGCTGACACTGCAGACATGAGCCACCATACATGGATTTGTAGCTTGCCTTTAAGATAGTGTCCTGTTACAAAGCACAGGCTTGCCTCAGAGTTGTAAGTCTCCTGCCTTGGCATATGCCATCAAACTGGTTCATTCCCTTTTCTTTTGTCTGCTGTGTTTTCCCACTCCACTGCCCTCCTAATTCTCTTTTCAAGTAGGTACTTTTACAAAGAGAGATGGCCAGCTGGAGAGATGGCTCAGGGTTTAGGAGCTCTTGCTGCAATAGAGGACCTGAGTTAATTTCCTAGCAACCATAGAAGGCAGCCCAGAACGTTATAACTCCACCTCCAGTGGATCTGATATTATACACACCCCCACACATGAGGCACACACACATACAAACACACAGATAAAATATATCTTTAACAACAACAACAAAAAAAGAGAGATGAGGCAAATTATGGAAACTCAGTTAAAAGCAGATCATTCTGAATAAGGTTTTGGCCTCTTCCCTAGAGTTCTTCATGTTGTTTAGCTTCTTTAGATTTTATTATGTTTATCCTATGTTATATGACTAGTATCCACCTATAAGTGAATCTATACCATGTGTGTCTTTCTGCTTCTGGGATACCTCACTCAGAATGGTCTGAATGCTCACTAGAGTGGGACTTGAACACTCTTTCTTCCTGGTACTACCTGCATTATCACTGCCATACCGCAGGAACTCCTGAGTTTAGTAGTTGGTTTTCTTCTTTTTTTTTTTTTTTCAATTATAAAGCCATACTTACAGTTGGGCGTGGTGGCACACACCTTCAATCCAAACACTGGGGAGGCAGAGATAGGTGGATCTCTGTGAGTTCAAGCCAGCCTGGTCTACAAAGTGAGTTGTAGGACAGCCAGAGCCACACAGAGAAACCCTGTCTCGAAAAACAAAAGTTACATTTATTTATTTGGTTGGGTATGTATGTATGTATGTATGTGTATTTAATTTTGTGGTGGTGATGGTAGAGGGGCTGTGCCACAGCATGTTTATGGAGATCAGTACATGTATAAAGATCAGAGGACAACTTGAGGGAGTTGGCTCTCTTTTTACCATATGGGTCTTTGGATTAGAACTTACATGGTCTGGCTTGCTGCAGGCATCTCTCGAGTCCTGGTAGAGTTGTTGAAAGGGGGTGGGGAGTTACTCTGTGGAGGCTCTCTGGGGTATGACTTCTTTTTAGGAGCTCCAACAGGCAACTTCGAATAAGGAGGAAAGCATGATATTAGCTGTTAAATTTTAGCATACAGCTAAGGCACTGGGATTGTGTCTGTGTGGCTGCTTTTCTGGGTGGTGGGTCCCCGGTAGCTGAGCGGTTACTAACACTTGAGTTTTGTTTCCTGCTGCAGGCGCAGGCTATCACTCTGAGTCCAAAGCCAAGGAGTATAAACATGTGTGCAGACGAGCTTGTCAGAAGGTGAGCCTGAGTGCAGCATGATTTGCGTGTGAGGCTTAACCCTGAGATACCGAGCCTAGATTTCCTGTCTAGGGAAGTCTGGCTGGATCTCAGAGTTGTTTGACTCGTACTTGTAGACTTAGTCCTCAGCTTCTAGTTTGGTTTGTGTTTTTGTAGTTATGGGTACATATAACCATATCTTTTTAAACATTTCTATAATGATTGAACGCAATGGAAAGGAGGGAAAAACTGTTCTGTTAAAGAGGTCGATGTCTTTTCTTTCTTCTTAAAAAATGTTATTTTTTTGAGAATATATATATATGTATATATAAAAGGTGTATATAGATATACATATATATGTATATCTTTTTTTTTTTTTTTTTAGTTTTTTGAGACAGGGTCTCACTCTGAAGCTGTGGTTGGCATGGAACTCATCTTCCTTTGCCTGCCTGTGAATAAATGCTCACTTTTTTTTTTTTCTAATGGGAAGTCATTTACAAAGAAAGAAAGAAGGAAAGAAGGAAAACAAGTGTTTTCCTGAGATGCTCTTGAGCCCTGTTCTGTTCTTCAGCATGGGCCTAGCCAATGCCTGTCTTCTTGGTGTGGTGAGCTCTGCTTGTTTTTCCGCTTCAGCTTTGGACACCTTTGACTTCTGAGGTTTGCTAAGTTGTTGAATGTTTAATTTAGGGACAGGAATGAACTCAGAAAAAATATTATTTTTTAATTTTGATCCTGATTATATAGTCTTGTAGGCAAACTTTCCATCACTTTGTACACATATAGAATGTTGATTGGATGCTGCCTATCAGCTAAATAAGGGCATTTTTCTTTTTTTATATTTAAATACCATTATAAAAGATATTTTATCAGAGATATAAGCTTTTTCTTATTAATGGATGATCATAAATAGAGTATTTTGTTATAGGGATTTTATATAGTAAATATATACATATACACAAATATGGACTTAAATATTTTCGTATGTTTTTCAAGTGTGAAATCTTTTTATTATCTGGAAATGTTTATTTTTTTCCTACAGCCTTAGTCCTAAACTTTAATTTATTTGACCTGTAATTCTTTTCAATTTATGTAATGATTCACCTTTTTTATATTTATTAAGTGTGTTACCTTATGTGTGTGAGTGTTGGCCCACATTTATGTGTGTATACCACACGCATATTTGGGAAGTCAGAAGAAGGTGTTAAAGTTCGTGACTGGAGTCATAAACAGTTGTGAGCTCCCATGTGGATTCTGGAATTGAACTTTTTGAATCCTTTGCAAGAGCAAGAAGTGATAGCTCTTCTTAATTGCCAAGACTCTCTAGCTTCATGAATTACCTTTTTATTTTAATTAATTAATTAATTTTTTTGACAGGATCTCTTTCTCCATAGCCCTGCCTGTCCTGGGACTCACTGTGTCACTGTATATTCTAGGCTGGCCTCAGGCTCACAGACATCTGAGATCTGCCTGCCCTTGCCTCCATGTGCTGGGATTAAAGGCCTGCGCCACCACAGCTGGCGTGAATCACCTTCTTCAGATTTGAGTTATGCGAATGGGGCAGTGCGAAAGAGCATTTGATGCTCTGGGTGAGAGCCTGGCTTTGGTCCTCAGAGCCTACAGGAAGCTTATGGCTATGTGTAACTCCAGTCCTGGGGAAAGCTGACCTCTTCTGACTGTGGGGGCACCAGGCACTTATGTGGTACACATCCGTACAGGCAAGCGAAACACTCCTACAGACAGTAAAGCACAACAAAGAAAGTTTAATTGGAAGTTTATTGTTAGTTTTGGGGCTTTGTCTTTGTTAATCAAATTAGAGTTTTAGTAACTCATTTGAAGCCATTTTTTTTTCTCTCTTTTTTTTCTTTGAGTTTAGGTCTAAGAAAGCTAGGTGAATTTTACAGACCTTTACTCTGTAGAATGTATTACAAAAGAGTATTTTGATATACGAACACATAGTATCAGTAATTTTCTAAAAGTGATTATTTCCATCTATAGATTCTTTTTTTTTTTTTTTTTTTAAATTAATATACACCCCATTCCTCTCTTTGAAGCCCAGGCTTCACCTTGTGACCTCAGACCCTGTTCCTGCGTCAGCCTCGTACCTGAGATTAGAGGAATGAACCACCATGGCTGGCTGGCTCTGAAGATTCTGTGGCTTAGAAACATTAATTGTTTTTGATAGATACGGGTGGGGAGAAATAATGGGAGAGAAGTAGCTGGGTTGAGATGCAGTTCTTGAAGTAAACACTGTCAGGATGTCTTAACTGGACTACACTCATCGTTTCCGTAGCTGTTTCTGGCCCTCTGTGAAGAGCTGACGTCCTTTCACTGACTCCACTCCTTGTGCCTTGCTAACTTTTAGTTGTTGCTTTAGCTCGGGGAATACTAAGGATGGCAGTTAGTCTGAGTAACAAACACTGCTTTTCTTAAATCTGAGAAACTACACCTTAAAGCATCTGTGTCCAGCTTGGATCCCTCAGGTCACACGCACCCAGGACAGAAGGTCAGCATGAGCACAGCTTCATGGCGGAGTCCACGGCCAGCCCTGCCTTTCAGTGTGGAGTGGGCATGCTGACGGGTGGTGTTAACGCTGAGCGTCTCACATGGTTAAGCCTTTGCAGAGTTCAGGGTATGTTTGAGAAGCTGGTTTTACAGTGAGTAATTTCTCCTCTTGTTTTCATAGGCTATCGAGAAGCTACAGGCTGGTGCTCTTGCCACAGATGCAGTGACTGCTGCTCTGGTGGAACTTGAGGTATTTCTTTCTTGTAATGTTTTATTTAAAATATTGTGAATTTACATTTCTTATTTTTAAATGTCATGAAGATGCTGAGTTACTCAGCCGTAAGTCATGTAGCCTTTGTTTCCCACCAATATTAGCAAAGCTGTATTTTGATTTTGCTACTAAGTATTTCATTGAGTAATGAAGAACTTGGTTAAATCTTTTTTTCTCTTGTTTTTTTCATTGGTGATAGGTAGGGCAGTTTTTGAAGTTGACGTCTCCGAAATGAGATTTGTCTTCAACAAGCTCCTGATTCCAGCTCTCTAGAAGTATCTAAAGTGGAAAGATGAGTTTTATCACACACATAACAGATGTAGGTCCTGAAGCTATTCGTTGTGTGTTTGTGAGCTCATGCTTGTTGCAGTGGTTTTGCAGCACAGTTCCGTGTTTGCGGTGGCTGTGGAGGAGTGGAGTGAGGAGACTCTTTCCTAGTGAGTACTCTCAGTTTCTCCGACTCTGGAGTACTGATGGGTTTGAGGCCTTTGAGAAGGCTGCAGTGTGGAGAGGATAGATTGTTAGCTGATAAGGTTGTTAGGGATGTCTGTTTTACTGCTTGTGGAGGAAGGGCAAGACACCACGATGAGCAGTGATGAGTGTGAGAAGGTGAGAGGGAAAGCAGACATTCCCAGGCTGACTGTTGGGGCCCTTCGGTTGCCTTTTATGTCAGGGCATCTGTCAGATGTCTTTCCTTGGAAGAGTGTCTCGGGAGACTGAAAGTTCTAGCCATGTTTTCTGTACATCCCCTCTGATTTAACTGTGTAACTGCACTTTCAGTTATTGCTTTGTAGATTTTAACTGACATTTGTAACACTCCTAACTTCAAGGCAGGTGGGAAGTGTGTGTGTGTGAGAGAGGGGTTGGGGGGGAAGAGGTTGGGGGAGAGAGAGCTGGCTTTAGTTCTGTTGAAGTTTGGCCCCTGAAGCATCTGATGTTGGGGTTTGTTGGTGCCTTTTGAGACTCATGGTGTCAGTAATCACTGCATGCCACTGGGTATGGCAGAGCTGCCTGTTGCTCTAAATACTTCCTGTTGACCCAGTTCTGTCTGTAATGGGATAATTTCTACTCTTAGCATGTGCTCTGCAACTATTAGTTACCAGTTTACAATGTCAAAGTTTTTAGATGTGGATAGCAGAAGATAAGTGACACAAGGAGGAAGGTTGATGAACTTACTGCCAAATCATCCTTTATGCAAAATACATAATCGTGTCCCTTTTGTGGAAGGTGATGCCAAGATTATAATTTTGTAGAGTCAGTATAGGTTTGGGGAAAAAGCTTAATGAGTAATGCAGATATATGATATTATGGCAATCATAAACACAAAATTTATTTATTTATTTATTTCCCCCTGCTTCATAGATGATTATGTGTCCTTAAAAAAATTACCTTTTGGGCCTCATTATGATGGTATATACCTGTAATTCAAGCATTGAAGAGGCCAGCATTTGTGGCCAGCCTGGGCTACTTAATGAGACTATATCTTAACAGCAACAAACCCCCAAACAGCAAAAATCATGAGTTACTCATGAATACATGGATTTTTAATTTTGCCTTTACATTTTTTTTCTTTTAAGATTTATTTTATTTTATTGGTATGAGTATTTTGCCTACTTGTTTTGCCTGAGAAAGAAGAATCTTTCTCAGATTCTCGAGTATTGGGATTGTAGGTGTGTGATGGCTAGTCTGGTTGTTTTGACACACTTAGTAAGAGTGAACATCAATTGGGGACTAGCTTTATCAGATAGGCCTGTGGGCATGTCTTGAGGCATTTTAATTGTTAATTGATGTAGGAGAACCTAGTCCAATATGTGTGCTACCATCTCTGAGCAGGTGGGCCTGAGCTGTAGGAGGGCAGGATTAGGCAGAGGGAGCAAGCCAGTGTCCTCTACAGCTCTGTTTCAGTTCCTGCCTCAGATTCCTGCCCTTGCTTCCCCAGTGATGGACTGTCACTTAGAAGTTGTGAGACAAAATAAACCCTCCTTTCCCCATGTTTCTTTTGTCATGGTGTTTATCACAGCAAGAGGGAAACAAATGAAGATCAGGTATCATATCTTTTATGGAAATAAATGTTCATAGTTTAAATGCCAAGGCTACACTAGCTGGAAGAGTTTTCCTGTACCATGAGGATTACATGGTCATTTCCTTTACTGTCCTCTGCAGTCTCTGTCACCTTAAGTGTGTGAAACATATTATATTAGACCCAGGATAGATTTTTATATGAAGAGTTCAATTGAAGAGTTCAGTTGAAGAATTATTATAATAGTTTGGGTCAGTGGGAAGATATAAGAAAGTTGGATGCTTAAGTTTTCTCTGCTTAGATGAATATAACTAATTCTTGAGTCCTTTGAGCATATTGAAATGAGAAAAATCACAGAAAATCCTGTTTATATAGTTTTGCATTGGAGAGTCACATTCATCATTAAGCTTAGTCAGCCTCTTCAGTTATGTGTTGTCCTAGATGTGCCTTATACTTTGAAAGATGCTTTCTTTGGATGATGGGAGGAGAAGAGGACTCTCTATAGTAGTTCTTGCTATCCTTGAACTTGTGATCCTCCTGCTTCAGATACTTCAAAACTGGAATTACAGATAGGTGGCATCAAAGCCTGACACATTCCAGAGGGTGGGTGGGTTCATGTGTATTTGTGGTTTTTAAAATTAAGTTTTGTTTGTTTTTAGTTTTTTGAGACTGTGTTTCTCTGTGTAGCTTTGGTTGTCCTGGAACTTGTGTAATGCTAGGTTTCACGGGACCCTCAGAGACCATCAGGAGGCAACTCAATGCAATAGCAAGAGAGTTTTATTACGAGAGCGATCAAACTCAGGATCCAAGTCTCACTGATGCAGCAGTAGAGAAGTGGGACTCCGAGCCCCAAGTAAAAAGGATTTTTAAAGGGAAAGTTTGTGATCAGGGGTTTCCATGGCAGCAAGCAGGGGGCACAAGCCTTGGCGTTACAGAATTGGGTAAAGTTTAGCAGGGCAGGGTGACCTTTTCTGAGGCACACAATCACAATGGCTAAGGCATGTGATCACAATGGCTATTCCTCTAAACCACATCTGAAACATTGGGGAGAATTTTCCCACCTGATTTCCAACCGATACTCATTGATTATTGCCGGGGAGATTGTCTCTATTTTCTATGAAGTATTTGTTCTGTATTATTTCCTGGAGGCCGTTGCTAGGAGAGTTTACTTTGTTCTCTGCCAAGTGTACATTCTGTTATTTCCTGGTACCTGAATTCAGCTCCCAGTCAAGATGGCTCTTTACTCAGGCTAACTATACCCAGGCTAACTTAAACTCTTCACTTGCTCTGTAGACCATATTGGCCTTGAATTCACAGAGATCTGCCTGCCTCTGTCTGCCAAGTACTGGGATTAAAGGAGTGACCCATCACTGCCTGCCTGAAATTGATTGTTTACACATATGGTCTCTCTGTGTGATCCTGGCTGTTGTTTTCTTCTTTGCCAGCTCTTGGAGTTGAGTACTTTCCCATTACAAACTGAAGTGACGAAAATGAAACGGTTTAATGTTTATCGTCAAGTTAGGGTGTCTAGCCTTGTATTTAATAAAGTGCGCTCACTTGTGTTTTCCCAGGTAGTGAATATTTTTATATAGTATATCAACTTTATAGTAGAGGAGTGAGAGACAGTGTGACACAAAAGGGACTTTTCACAAATTCCTTTCCACCTTGGCATATACTCTGTCACTCTGTTCTTTCTTTTCTTAATTTTCTTTCTCTTTCTCTTTTTTTTTTTTTTTTTGAGATAAGGTTTTTGCAACACAGGCTGGTTTCAGACTTGTGAAGTAGCCACGGCTGATTTTGAACTCTTGATCTTCATAATTCTACTTCCCAAGTACTGGGATTATAGACATGTGCAATAATTTACAATTTATTCATTATATATCCCTATTGAAGCCCCCTCCCTCAACTCCTCCTGGTCCCACTCTCCTTCCCTCTTCCACATTATCCCCTTCCCCTAGTCCACTGAAAGGGGGAATTCTCTTCTGCCATCTGCCCATAGCTTATCAAGTCTCATCAGGACTGCCTGGATCCTCTTCCTTTTGTGGCCTGGCAAGGCCAGATTGCCAGGGGTGAGTGATCAAAGAACAGGCAACCGAGTTTATGACCGAGGCAGCCCCTGCACCCCTTACTCAGAGACCCACATGGAGACCGAGCTGCCTAAAGTCTACATCTGAGCAGGGAATCTAGGTCCTTTCCGTGCATGGTCCTTGGTTGGTGTGTCAGTCTCTGCAGGACTGCCCTGGGTTCAGATTTCTTAGATTTTTTTGGTCTCCTTGTGGGGCTTCTGTCCCCTCCATGTCACTCTATTCCTCCCCCACTTTCTTCCATAAAACTCCTTGTGCTCTGCTCAAAGTTTGGCTCTGAATCTCAGCAGCTGCTCTGATCCTGGGTCTTCTTTTAAGCCCTGTTGAATTGCTTGTTTTGGTTAGCACACAAAAAAGTAGGTTTTATTGTGGAATTTCTGTAAGTATGTATGTGGTGGTTGGGTCAGGACCTTGTATTTCTGGGTTTTTGGGCTACTATACAAAGAACTGAAAATAAGGGCTGACAAAGATTTGTAAAAGAAGCAGGATAATTTGATTTGGATTGAGGAGAGTGTACACGTCAAGGTTGACAGGGCCACATGAGTAAAGATACTCAAGAGCTCCAGGCTACAACATTGGGTCTCTCTTTATGGGGTCAAAACAGAGGGGGCTTCTGGTCACTAAGGGGCATAGTTTGGGTGGTTCTCTATTTTGCTTGATAGCCTAGGTTATATAATAATTTTTCAGCTGTCTTATGTTCCTCCCCCATGGTGTGTTTGGCAATACTGTTGCGCTTAGGCATAAGGTGGTAAAATGGTGCTAAGGAGCACAGTTCTGCCTTACTTTTCATGCGCTCATGCACTGTCCCTTCTAGTCTTCACACTTGGATATGTTGGGATAGATTTGAAAGGAGTTGGAGGGAGGAAAAGGAAGGA